GGTAAGAAATCAATATATGAACATATGTCTGATCTCTGTAATTGAAGCCAATTTCCTTGATTGCTCACGCAATGATGGCCATAAAGCTGATTGGAGTTTCTAAATACAAAACTTATGTTTAAGCAGCCTAATCTTGAAAAAAGTAGAAAAAAAGGGTATTTCTTTAACTTATATATTTAGTTATTTTTATTTCAATGATAACTATGGGTTGCTGATGGGCGCACAATAAAAGAATAAGCACACAAGCATTTTGAAAAAAGAAAAACATTATATTAACTTATTTACACATTGACACTTCATGAAAAGAAGGCTGTTGATTTATGTACATGCACCATAAAATATAAACTAAACAGGAAAGAATAATAGAACATCTTAAGTCAGTGTAAAGAAACATGTTTACAAACTAATAAGCAGCTTTTCTTTATATTCTTTATAGTTATAAATAATTCTTGCAATGGGTTCTCATGGTGTGAAAAACCAAATTACAGTTAACAGATAAAAATTTATGGAAGCAATGTAGCCTCTATTTGTCAAGGAAAAACTGTTTTTTTTTTTAAGAAACAGCAAAGAGGTATGGAAGAAAATCAGGCAAAAAAAGTCTGTTGAATTTTTTCCATGATTGGGTCCTTTTTACATCACAGCAAAGGCAAAGTTTACACATCAGAAGTTAGCACTCTTTCTTCTGTTCTGTTCCAGGACCCATCCAGCCGGATTCATGTCCAACCTTAACATATTAAGAACCCATGAATCTTGCTGTGCTCCTTTAACAAATTCCTCCAAAGTAATGTGACCTGTAAAAAAGAAAGATACCTGTTTAATGCTCTCTGTTTGTAGTACTTTTTCTACTATGTTGTAACACTTTTTTCTCACCATCTCTGTCAAAGTCAACAGCATCTAATATTCGTTCCACGACCTCATCAACCGACAGACTGGGCTCGTTCATGTCTTTTTTTGAGAATTTCTTGATCCGATAGATGCTCTGAAATAATGACAAAAATACAGAACAGGAGACATTATATTTAGGTATTTCATGACAATGATAAAAGCCAGAGTACAGTAGACGGTGCATGTCTACCCTTAACCTAAATGCAAAATACACTTAAGAAATGAACACAACTCATATCATTAATTTTCATACAAATGGTATATTTTTATAATTAAGCTGTTTTAAAAAAAATAAATATAATTGTTAGTTAAATAACACCAAAATACTTTTTAAAAACAATATTACCGTAAACAAGTTTTTAATACAATTTCTCATGTCACACTTTTCAGTTTCCCTTAAGAACTACAAATGAAAACAAGAATTTGTATTTTTCTAGCACGTTTAATGAATATGCACTGTCCTCGTAAAAAAAAAAAAATCTATTGAAAATTTGAAAACAGCTGCTGGCTTGACTCCCACCTGATTCAGACCAGACTGTCTCTTGTTAATGCCACATTAACCACTTATCATCCCATTATTATTAGTCACTAAAGCTTTTCTGAGTTTTGATGTGATTGCTACTAGTTACGTACAGTATGTGCAAGTCACACCTGTCGAGGCAGAATGCTGTGTTAATATGCCAGCGTATCAAAACTGTGACAATTTTCTGCAAAATAATTTTAAAGGGATTCCAGGTGCTGCACTGTTTTCGGCTATAGGGAGCATAAAGGCAACACTGTACCTACCTCACATCTCACTGCTAGTTCGCTGGGTGTATGGTCTTGTTAGTGATGCTGCAAAAAAGTTTTGTGTTTTGTACTCATGATGGTTACGGTGCAACCTGCATCAACATTAGTAAAACTTCCTTCCTTTGAAAATTGTTCTTTCTTATTTTTGGGAAATATTAGAAACATACATTTACTAATATAAATTAAAAATGTTTCCACTGTTTATATGCACAATATATTGCATGATTTAGATCACTGTTATTTTTGTAACACTGGGCTTAAAGGCTATATACTATACGAACAATTAAGGAAACAGCTGTCCACATGTAATTCCAAAAAGTAAAAAATAAACAAAACAAAAAACAATCCACTGGACTTTGTTTCCAAGTCGTTTCGCTTCCCATCCAGGAAGCTTTTTTGATTCACAATGTCAGAAATAGCGTTGAGATCAAGGCTTTATAGATTGGACCAAACAAAGCCTTGTTTTGGCTTAGAAACATGCAAGTTGAACCTGACAAGCGCTTTTGAAAGGGGGGTCGTTTGGTTTCTTTGTTAACCTGTAATACCCAAAACCTGTCTAATTCTCAGAAATGGGGGTCATTAAAGATAATTGTTGGCCTGGCTGAAGAGGCGAGGTGCTCTGTTCCGCAATAATGGCGTGGGGATTGCGATGATAGCAGGAAGGAATCTACTCAATTGCTGCATTGTAGGTTTTTGAAAGCTGAAATCTGAGTCCACCCCTTCTGTTTAAGGTTGGTTCTCTGTCTTATCATAGATGGCTTCCTTCACAACCCTTTCAAACCACCCATCTTCTTTGTCCAAAATGAGAACATTCTGGTCAACAAAAGAATTTCCTTTGTCCATAAGCTGTATATGTACCACCAGGTCTTGTACTGAGGAGGTCACTCTTCTGTGTAGGCCATGTATCTGTAGAGAGGTTGTTTGGTTTCTCCAACATAAAGATCAGAGCATTCCTCACTGCATTGAACTGCAAACATCACTCTGCTCATAATTGGTCTGGGGGTTTGTCTTTAGGATGCACTAGTCTCTGTCTAAGGGTCTTGTTAGGTTTGAAATGTACTGGGATTTTGTGTTTGGAGAAAATCCTCTTGAGTTTTTTAGAGACTCCAGCAACATATGGGATGGCAATGTTTTTGTGTTTTAATATTTCCACATGATGGAAACTGGCACGCTATCACCTGAGGGATTATGTTACTCAGACTTTCTCAATCCAACAAAGGTTTGCACTCTTTTAAAAAATGAGGCGTTGACTGCTTAAAGATAACCAATCTGCTACAAATATCACAGACAATGATGTGAAAATTAAAACAGCCTATGACTCTTATTAAGATAAAGCCTTTTGTCAGAACGGCCCACCTTACCACTACATATAGCTCTATATGATATAGAGGTTTTGCCCATCTTAAAGGAGTGCCTGAAGGTCTAGTGTTGAAAAAATTAGTGCACTTAAAATCTCCCTCAATACATTTTGAAAAGTAGTGTGTATCCATGGTCACTAGACGAGCACATATAACAGAACGCTTTGCGAGAGCTGTCCTCGCAAAGCATCATAGGATTTAATTTGGGGGTGAGAGAGAACACAGATGGTGCAGGCAAGTTGGAGTCATGTGACCAACAAAAAATAGTGATCATTTCTCCAAACGATCAGTTAACTGAGTTTGGAGTACAGTCAACAATATAGTCCCTGCTCTATATTGTGATTGAGGGGTTTAGGGGTTAGAGCAGATGTTCGGACACATCCAAACTTTCTGTAAGGGTTGAAGATTTATGCTACGGATGGTATATCTATTAAACAGTTGACTGCTAGCTGGTTATCAGACCAGGTAGCCTGACTAATAAAACAGCTTTTATACTTGTATTACCATGTAACCATGTTTTATTGTGGCAGAAAAAAAGCTATTGTCTGTTTATTTTCTCTTTTAAATAAAAGTGTTATCTATATTTTTGCTTACCTGTTCTTTAAATTCCAAAATCATAAAAAATATAGTCTTTTTTATTATACTGTGAGAGTGATAACAATCTGTGTCTGCATACTAAGAGCAATAAATTAGTTACATCAAAGCTAACACTATATATTTTTTCAATCAAATTACACTGATTACAGGTAACTGTTTTATAAAAAGTAGAGTACCAATGTTTGTATATTGGACATTGTATCACAAGATATAGTAATTTTGATTTTTTTCCCCCTTTAAAATCATCTAATAAAGCAATGTAGTAATACAATGATTAAAAAGGGTCTCCATAAAGGGGAACATCCAAGGTAATTTAAGTATAGCACTTATGGTTTTTTTCTTTGACTTACATCAATTATCGACCGCAGCTCATTCCTGTCCACGTAGCCATTGCCGTCTTTGTCATACACCTTGAATGACCAGCGTAATTTATGCTCCAGGTCTCCACGAAAAACAAGATTCAGTGCTGCCACAAACTCTAGGAAATCGATTGTGTTGTCCTATCAGATGAGTTAAATGGAAGAGATGTATTTTATTTCGATACTTTAAATGATATCAACAGAGATAAGCAAATTTTGTTTCCTACCCCATTCTTGTCAAAGGCCCGGAACATGTTCTCCGCATAATCAGATGCTTCCCCGGTTGGGTCCACTCCAAAGAAACGTTTAAACTCGTGCAGGAAAAGTACTCCACTTGGGCACTCTAGGACAAATTTCTTATACATATCCTGAAGGGATTTGACATCGATCTCCTCACAATTCCCTGTTTGCTGTGTCTGTCCCATAGCTAAACATAACAGCCCATATTCAGTCTATATCAGTCAGCTCCACAACCAAGAGCACTGACTTGAAATGGGCATCTCTTTCTGCAAGGTGTTTTTTTTGTTGTATTAGCCATGGGAATCCTCTTTTGGAATCCTCCAGTTTGGTCATCGGCCAAGTGATTAGAGTAGCCACAGGATTAGTGACGTTTCCACTAAAAGGGTTTCCTTTCAATGGGTTATACAGTTGATACAGTAAACAGCAGTCTAGACCAGGGGTAACCAATTAAAAATCAGTGCGGTCCGAATAAAGAAAATCAACAAATAGTAAAGGTCCGGAGACATTTTTATTTATAATCCGTTATTTTAAATACCATTTAACACTGAAATAAAATGAGGTGTTTATGCATCCATGTTATACATTTACTTTTCAAATAAAAACTATAAAAAACGTTTTTCCATTTTAAAATCTACATTGTTTTTTAAGTAGAGAACAAAGCTTTTAGTTTGGTATATAGAAAAGTTACTTCTTCTTTTTTTATAAAACACCTGAACTGATATTTTTTTTTCCTTTTTTATGGCTTAATGGGATTTTAATGGGCTTAATGGGCTTTAGGTTGACCTGCAAGGATTTTAAAACTGGGTTTGAATGGCGAAAAAGCCATTCTAAAGCACATATCAAGGAGCTCATTTTGAGCCTCAATCTATATTTATTTTTGATTATGTTCATAGTGGAGAATAATGCTTCTTATCAGCAGGATAAGCCAAACGTACTCAAAATGTGTAGGGTTATCTTTGAGCACCCCACTTTTTCACTTTTCTTTCACTAGTTCACAGCGCCTCTTTGCGTCCACACTTTCTCTGCTCTCTTTTTCTCATCGTCTTCTCCTGCTTTCCCACCGCCTGGCTTGCTGTGTCTAAAAGTAGCAGCAGCAGCAACCCTGACTGACAGAAGCTCATTGGCTAATTTGTGCCGGATACTCCGGATGGCGCAAGTGACGTTTAGACATTGCCGTCAGACAACATGCAGTAATTCATTAATGTTTTAAATCAGGTTGGTCCGGCTTAGCCAGCAGGTGGGTCCGGATCCGGTCCCTGATCCACTAATCCGTGACCTCTGGTCTAGACCAAAGAGCGATAACTAAAGTTGCGCTTCCAATTAATGTGTTAACTTTGTTGAAAATCCATTAATTATAAAAATAAAGTATGAATAACTTATCAAGAATCTTTGTTTTCATAACGACCAAAATACGATTTTTGTTTCAACACCAAGCTCAGACTGCACACATATAAATCCTGATCTTTAAAGATCCCAAATTAGGTGTACTAATTTATATAAGCACAAGAAGGCGTATTGTGAATGATTCACAAATATTGCATGTGCAATGGATATGATATGGATATGATAACCAGTTTAGTTGTATCTATTCATTTAAACCAGTAAAGTGGGTTTGCTACTGGCAGTTTGGAAGAGGGTGTATTATAAAGATGATGTTCTATGCAATGTTTGTTATTATAATTATATAAAAAAATAATGATGGATTATACAGTATATAGTGCTCTTTATATATGAATATCTCAAATTCAAAAATATGAAAATATAAAGTTCAATTTAAAATATAAAAAAAACATTAAACCTGGAAAAGCTGACTTTATCAGCCCTAAGCCCCCTCTGACAGAGAAGGAGGCACATTCAGATATATGTAAAGCTTTAAACAGCTGGATGTACTCCCACCCACTCCTCAAAACACCTGCTTGACCCAAAATATTGCACACCAAGGTAGGCTAATGAGTATTTTCTTCAACATAAATAACTGCACCATACAGAGCCCTTTGAGGAACACTAAGGAGGAAAAAAAGTCCCTGTAACCATAATTAAAGATACCCACCACCACTGATAGTGACAGTTTGTTCTGGTAGCTGTAAAGTTGCTGTGTGTTAATTACTGTATATCTATTAACAGACAGCAATATTTTTAGTTCAGTCAAGGGATTTTGGCATGGAGACAGTTTGCTTCACTCCCTTTTCCTACTAATATTATTCTAAATGTTGTATCTCTGACTCAGAGACTTTCTCTTAATTATCCCATCATAGACACAAAGAAAGAGTCTGCACTTCATTTTTTAGGCTTGATAAAAATAGATGTAAAAGTGCCCCTGCAATCAGTTTCAGGTAAGATAAATCACTATTAAACAGTTTGGTCATAATCATATGATCTGCATATTATAAAGTCATGAGCAAAAACTTTGTGGCCACTTTTCTGCTTTTTTTTTTTCTTGCATACATGCAATAAAAACTGCACCTGCTTGAAGGTGTGTGCTAACTTGTTTGCAGGTTTCTATATACACTGCCCGAAGATCAGGTCCATTTAATGTAGCTAGAAATTAAACAAACTAAATATCAAAACACACAGCAATCAAGTCACAATTTCTAAAATGTTTACACCTGAGTAAAATTTATCATTTAGTTTTGATTATTAGTTATCTCATTCAATTACAAAAATCTATAATCTCTCTAAAATTGATTTAGGATAAATCAAAAATTATTTCAAGGATTAGAGAAATCACCGAAACATCAAATTGTTGATATGTTATGGTGACCAGGTATCCTCGTTTTCCCAGGCATGTCCTACTTTTCATAGCTAAAAAATGTCATGGGGGGGATTTCAAAATTGTCCGGGATTTTGGTAATCACAGTGCAGTAGAACAGAGCCATCAGCTGGAGAGAAAATATGAACTGAATACTTTCTTCAATATGTTCAATTCAGGAACAAGCTACTCATCCTTCTCTCTTGCTCAAAGTCACATTGGCATCCTCTTCTGTTTCTATGAGTTTGTTGTCAGCCAGATTAGAAGATGATGATGCTCCCTCCATCTTCCATTTGTCAGTCTCTAGATGAAGAGGCAACTGGAGGGATTGAATCATAATAAGTCACCAGGTCCTATGGTGTGAAACAATCATCTGATCCTGAATGTGAACAAATCAAGGGAAATGATTGTGGATTTCAGAAGAGGCAGGAACAAACTGAATTCTATTAACACCATGGGAGAAGAATCTGAGGTAGTGGAGGAGTTTAATACCTTGATGTTCACAACAAACTAGACTATAGAAACAAGTGTGAAGTTGTCTACAAGTAAGGACAGAGCAATTCTCTTACCTCACAATTTTTAAAATGTTATTATCATTATTATTACCCAATAAAACATTGGGTTCTTTGGCATATGCAACAAGATGCTATATATCTTCTAAGTGATCTCTTCCTTCATCATTTGCTGGGGTAACAGCATCAGAAAAATTGACTTAGAAAAGCTCAACAAGCTAATAAAGTAGGCTGGCTCTGTTTTATGAACTTATCTGGAACCTCTTATGATTATTTCACAAAGAAGAATTCTTCATAAAGTGAAGAGGATCATGGACAACAGTGAGCCTCCTCTTTAGATGTTTTGTTTGAACAACAACAGAGTTTTCAGTAAGAGGTTTCTCCAGATCTGGTGCAAGACATAAGATCCTTCTAGCCTACAAATAACAACACCCACAACAGCTAGAAAAAAAAAATTCTATGAGTTACTGCAACATGTAATTTTGAGGTGGGGTCTGTATAAATAGTTGATTAAATTGTATTTTATTTAAATGTATCTCGCAGTTATGCAGTTTGACTTCAGGGCAAACAGTTCAGTTGAAAGTCTTCTTTTAACTTTTTTACTTTTTCTCAGAATAACTAAGAAACTTAACAACAGAACCTTCAATCTTTTTACTAGCATAGTAAAGATTTTTCTTTAACATGTTATTTCCAAATACATGTTGAATGTTTTACTATTATTATTATATATTATACATTTTTTATCTGGGTAGGGCTAGGTTTGCGAACTAGTGGTATCATCAGAATGGCTTATGCCTAAATCTGTTTATGCCCTTAATCTGTCTCAGTGTAGCTTCTCTTGATAAAGTAGCTAAGAGGGTGTAATGCTCAAGGTCAGACTAATAGGGAATTGTTTTATCAATCTCTCAGATTAAAGATATGTTGTGAGAAACTAAATCCTTCTCAGTCAGATGATTCCTCGCTAGGGCCATAACACCAGCTCCTGATAAATATAAGTTATTTGTTAAGAGCTGTATAAAAGTCCTAATTTGTCTTCCCCTTTGTGGGACGGCTACCAATTACTATATCAATAGCCTTTTTTAATGTAGGCTCAAATCATGTCTTTAACTTAATGATGCCAATGACCATATATCAGGAAAAAATCCTAATAGGAAAATCAGAGAACTAGTACTATATTATGCATACTTGAATCCATAACACGGAAGGCTAAGATAAAGCAGACTGTTAGGGTGCTGAAAGCTTGAGTTCTTCTGAATCAGTAAATAATCTTGCCTTATCTTGCAATGGGTCAAGTGTTATCAACTTTAATTTTCTCTCTACCACTATTTTTTGATTGTCTGTACTCAATATTTAGTATTCAAGGAATGCAATACTTCCTTGACAAGCGGCCGCATTAGGCAACAACCCTCTGATCCATGTATGTTCTCTACATACATGACATGCAAAGGATTTAGTCTCATGCTTAACTGCAGCCCAAGATTAGGACTATAGACATGACAATGTAGTATACTATAAATCTATGGGTATAAAGTAAGATTATAATCATCATTTCAATTAATTTGAAACTAGGACAGTCTAGGTTTTCAGGTTTTCTGTTTAAGTAATTATTAGCAGCAGTTGGGGAAAGGTGTGATAGTGTAATAGGATATATTGTGAATGTCTTGACATTTTAAGAAGGTAAGAGAAGGAAACCCATCACCCATCTAATTGCATTCTTATGTTAAATATTTAATATAGTATCACCTCAGTTAATGTGTTTGCAGTATTAACTATACATTATTTTTTTTTTATATTTTTTTTCTACAAGGACATTATGTGAAATATAGTAGCAAGGGTCAGTAATTAAGCTCTAGCACCAAAAACATATGTTAGCTTTTTAAGTCTACCTTTCATTTATGTACACTCAAAAGACAATTGTCTTGTT